GTTATATGCAGTTAAAACAAACAAACAAACAAACAAAAACAAAACCCCAAACCTTTGTAATGTGGTAATTTACTTGCTAATAATCTCTTTTGCTCTGTTCTCAAAGTATGAAATGATCCAGGGCAAGAATTCAGTCTTCGTCTGTTAAACCATAATCTTTCTTTGGTTGTCATCTTTTTCCCAAGATTTAATTATTAACTGATTTAACTACAAATATTAGGTTGGAAGACCTTAATCAAAATCCTTAGGTCTAATTATGCATACTCTTCTCCATCTTATAAAATGCCTTTTCTTACTCATGGTTTTATTTATCTCTCTAGTTTCATAGTTCTGATCCTTTTCCCTCTTCTCTATCTCTCTCTTTTTCTATTCCTACTACTAAAATTTCCATGCCAGGTAGTTAGTATTTTAAGCGTATGTTGTAAAATAGCCCTCAGTTTGGTCTCACTGATTTTAGTCCGCTCCTGTTCATTATCATTCAACATGTGAATGTCAGTTTGTTTCCTTTACTGATATACCCATCTTGACTTTCTCTTATACAGAAAGTTTGACTAGCTTCTTAGTGTTTTTAAAGTCAAGTTCAGATTCTGATGAACAGCATATCTCAATCTTTGTATTTGGCTCCAGTAAATACTTTTTTGTTGAATGTGTCTTCTGTGACTCTGACACTTTTCTATTGCCTATATGTTGCTCATGTCATTTCCACCAATTGGAATTTTATAGCTTCTTGGCTAGGTTTTGCTTTTAACATCCTTCAGGAAGCCTGTTTTGAACTTCTCTGTCTCACAGTAGGCCATTTCCTTTTGGGTGCTCAAAGCCTTATCTATTCATTTCTATTTAATTATATAACCATTTTGTTATTTTCTCTCCTGTGATCTTACTTGAAAAATTCTGCGGACTGGGACGCCTGGGTGGCTTGGTGGTTGAGCGTCAGCCTTTGGCCCAGGGCATGATCCTGGAGTCCCGGGATTGAGTCCCACATTAGGCTCCCTGCATGGAGCCTGCTTCTCCCTCTGCCTGTGTCTCTGCCTCTCTCTGTGTGTGTCTCTCATGAATAAATAAATAAAATCTTAAAAAAAAAATCCTGCGGACTGTTAGGTTATTTAACTGCATTAGGACAAAAGCCTATTATATTATAAAGTAAAATTGGATATGTTTTGGTGGTGTTAGTGTTTTTTAGGCTGTTATTGTTGGGTTAAATGTGGTGATGATGGTTGAGAAGGAAGTTGGACAAGGGTGAGTTAATGGAGTAAAGGGTTTAGTATAAAAAGTAGGGATGAAAAGTGAAGGATAAGGAATTAATAAAGAGAATCTGGATAGGGAAGATATAGATATAATAGATATATATATAGTGTAAGTGAAATATTGTTAGTTTTTGTTGTTTTTTTGGGGGTTTGGTTTTATGGGTTGTAGGGGATAGGGATTTAATGGTTAATGGGGTATTGGGTTGATGGTTTTGTGGAAGGGGTGGTGAATGAAATTGTGTGGATGTTTGGAAAGTAGTGTAGTTATATGGGGGAGTAATGTGTTATTTTTGGATGTTTGTATATGTTGTTAATTAGAATGGGTGGGAGTGTTGTTGAATTGTGTTTGGAATATGGTTGGGTGGATAGGAATTAATCGGGGGAAGTGTATGAGAATGAGATTATATTTATTTTTAAAAAAATGGATAGTATTATTATTGTGTATTGAGGATTAGGTTTTTTTTGGTTGTATTGGGTGTAAAATGGTTGAGTGTTGTTTTTGGGGTTGTTTTGTTTTTGGTTTGGTTTTAAAAATTTTTTGGTGGTGGGGTGTGATGTTTTGTGTATTATGGTATTATATTGTAGTGGGGTTTGGGGTGTGGTGGTGGGGTGTATTGTTGTGTGTTGGTGGTGTGTATGTTGTGTGTGTGGAGGATGTGTATGTATGTGGTGTTGATGGAAAATAATGGGTGAAATGGTGGGGTATAGTTAAGGTAAGATGGTATGAAAGGGAATTTGGATGGAGTTTAAGTGGTAATAATGTTAAAGGGTGGGTGGGTGTTTTTTATGGTGAATATGTTTTTGTATTATTTGGATGTGGTGTGGGAGGGGTGGTTGGATTTTGTATGGTATGGCTTATGGTTTTAGAAGGAATTGTGGTTATGTGTGTAATGAGTGAGTTAAGGATTTTTTTCCTTAATAATATCTTTTTTTTTTTTTAAGATTTATTTATTGAGAGAGAGAGAGCTCAGAGAGAGAGAGAGAGGGAGGGAGAGAGAAGGGGAGAAGGAGGATGGAGAGAGGAAAGTGAAAGGGAGAGAATCTCCAACAGGCTCCATGTTCAGTGCGGAGCCTGTTGAGGGGTCCATGTCATCACCCTGAGATTATGACCTGAGCTGAAATCAACCAACTGGGCCACCCAGATGTTCCTTCACAATATTTTTTTAAAGATATAATTCATATACCATAAAATTCACCCTTTGGTAGTATACAATTCACTTGGTTTTTAGTATATTCATAAAGTTCTGCAGCCATCACACCATCTAATTTTAGCTCATCTAAGTCACCCCAAAAAGAAACACAGTACATATTAGCTGTCACTCCCCATTCCCCCTTCTGCAACCTCTAGCAATCACTAATCTACTTTATGCTACTTTATGGGTTCACCTATTCTGGATATATAAATTGGATCATCTAGCATGTGATCTTTTGTGACTGGCTTCTTTGACTTAGCATAATGTTTTTAATATTTTAATATTTTGCCATGTATCAGTACTTCATTACTTTTTACTACCAATTAATACTCCATTGTATAGATATACCATGTTTTACTTATTTATTCATCAGTTGGTGGGCATTTCAGTTGTTTCCAGAAATGCTGGTGTATAAATATTAAATAAGCTGTTGTGAATATATGATACAAGTTTTGTGTAGACAACTCATTTCTCTTGGGTATATAACTAGAAATGAAACTGTTGGGTCAAATGGTAACTTTATGTTTAAGTTTTTGAGGGGCTTCCAGATGCTTTCCAAAGTGGGTGTACCATTTTACATTCCTACCAGCAGTGTAAAAGGGTTCTAATTTCTTTATATCCTTACCAACACATCTGTCTTTATGATTCTTTTTAATGTTATTGTAAGTGAATTGTGGGTATGAAGTAGTAGTTTATAGTGGTTTTGATTTGCCTTTTCTTGATGAGTAATGATGTTGATCATCTTTTCATGTGCTTATTGGCCATTTATATATCTTCTTTGGAGAAACATTCATTCATGTCCTTTATCCATTTTAAAATTGTGTTTTTATTTCAGAGTTGTGGGAAGTTTTTATATATCCTGTATACAAATCTCTTATGAGATAAATGATTTACAGTCCCCCACCCCCATTGTATGAGTTTTTCTATCTTTTTTTATTATGTATTTTGAAACCCAAAAGTTTTTAATTTTGATGATGTCCAATTTATCTGGTTTTTTTCTTTGGTTGCTTGTGCTTTTAGTGTCATGTCTAGGAAACCACTGTCTAATCTGAGGTCATAAGCTTTGCCCCAATGTTTTCTTTGAATGGTTTTATAGTTTCAACTCTTATATTTAGGTCTTTGATCCACTTGGAGTTCGTTTTTGTTTATGGTGTGAAATAAGATTGATCTTTGTTCTCTTGAACATCCAGTTGTTCCAGCTCCACTTATGCAATATTCTTTCTTTGTTAAATTATTCTGGTATTGTTGTTGAATTGACTATAAATGCAATGCTTCTATCTAGACACTGCATTCTATTGCATTGATCTATATATCTGTCCTTAGCTATATGTTTATATCACATTGTGTTGATTACTGTAGCTGTGTAGTAAGTTATAAAACCTAGAAGTGTGAGCCCTCCAATTTTATTTTTCTTTTGAAGATTGTTTTGGTGATTCTGAGTCCCTTGCATTTTCATGCGAATTTTAGGATTAGCTTGTCAATTTCTGCAAAAAATGTAGCTAGGATTTGATAAGGGATTGTGTTGAAGCAGATCAGTCTTGGAGAGTATTGCTATCTTAAAGATATTAAGCCTTTTGATCTATGTACATGGCTGTCCTTACATTTATTTAGATCTTCTTTAATATGTTTTGTAATTTTCAGAGTATAACTCTTCTACTTTTTTGTTGAATTTATTCCTAAGTCTTTTTTTCTTTTTGATGTTATTGTAAGTGGAATTGTTTTCTGAATTTCATCTTTAGATTGTTCATTGCTAATGTGTAGAAATAATAGTTGATTTTTGTTTGTTACCTTGTAGCTTGAAACCCTTTTGAACTTGTTTATCAGTCCTAATAGTTTGTTAGTGGAGCCCTTGGACTTTTTGTATACAAGATGTTACTTTCTACTAAGAGATAATTTTCCTTTTTCTTTTCCAATCTAGATGCTCATTATTTCCTTTTCTTGCCTAATTGTTTTGTCTAGAATATCCAGTATAATGTTGAATACAAGTGACAAGAGTGAACATTGCTGTATTATCCCTAACCTTAAGGGAAAGCATTCAGTTTTTCACCATTAATTATCATGTTTGCTCTGGACTTTTTGTAGATATCCTTTATCATGTAAAGGAAGTTCCCTTCTATTTCTATTTGTTGAGTGCTTTGCTCATGAAAGGGTGTTAGATTTTTGTCAGATGGTTTTGTTTTTTTTTAATCCTGTTTTTTTCCCTTTATTTTCCTTATTAACATGGTGTATCACATTAAATTTCACATATTAAACCAAACTTGCTTCCTTGGGATCCCTCTTGTTCATGATGTATAAGACTTTTATATTTTGCTGCATTTGGTTTGCTAGTATTCCTTCGAGGATTTTTTGTCTTAATTCTCAAGATATATTGGCCTGAGTTTTCTTTCCTCATGATGTCTTTGTCTTGTTTTGGAAACAGGGTTGTACTGGTATTATACAATGAGTTGGGAAGTATTCTTTCCCTTTCTAGCCCTTGAAACAGTTTATAAAGGATTAAAATTAAATCTTTAAGACTAATGGTATTTAAATTTTTTTTTTTTTTTTTTTTTTTTGTATCTCTTAGGATTCTCCTTTTACAAATGCAGGAATGGGATCTAATCTTAATCTCTTGGGTGAAATTGAGTGTGATGCCAGCATAATGGATGGAAAATCCTTAAATTTTGGAGCTGTTGGAGCACTGAGTGGTATGTGGACCTTATAACACATTACCTCTATTCTTTAAAGAACTATGAACATTATCATATGTCTCTTAAAGATTTAGTCAATCTTGTGTTTTCTACCAATTTTGCCTGGAATAGTCTTGAAGACAACATTGTTTTCTTTGTCTAAATTTAAAACATGAAATCTTAGCTAGGAAAGTTTTAAAGAAAACAGTAAAAGAGCTTATACTTAAGTCTTTGTTACAGTTTGAGCATTCTCTTCCACCTCCTTGAGATTATAGATATTTAACATGTGAGTTAGCAAAATCCTTTTTTATTTTTTTAAAGATTTTATCTATTTATTTATGAGAGATACACAGAGAGAGGCAGAGATTCAGGTAGAGGGAGAAGCAGGCTCTCTGCAGGTAGCCCCATGCGGGCCTCAATCCCAGAACCCCAGGATCATGCCTTGAACCAAAGGCAGACACTCAACTGCTGAACCACCCAGGTGTCCCTCTTAAATTTGTGATTATTTGAAATACATGGGTAATAGATTTTTTTGTTAGAAAATTCAATTGATATAAATAAAATTTACCATTGATCTTCCAAATCTTTCCTTCTCATCCTTTTCCCCTTGGAGGGGTTTAAACAGTAAAATGTAACGTATTTATCTATATTTTTATGTAATAGAAACACAATTACACAAATCTGTTTTTTTTTAAAATATATATGTATATATTATTATGAAATTTTATTTTTTTCTTTAAATAGGATGTTTTAGAGATTTTTTTCCCCACATCAGTACATATTAGATATATCTAATGTTTTACAGTTCTTTTATTTAAGCAATATATACATGCAATGCACAGATTTTAATTATAAAGCTGCATGATTTTTTAAATGTATACAGCTATGTAAACTATTACTCAAATCGAGATATAAAATGTTTCCATGTCAAAATACAGAACATTTCTGGGGTGCCTGGGTGGTTCTGTTGATTGAGCGTCAGACTCTTGATTTAGCTCAGGTCACGATCTCAGGTTTCTGGCATCCAGCCCTGCACTGGGCTCTTTGCTCCCCACTTAGCACGAAGTCTGCTTGTTCCTCTCCCTCCCCTGTTTGTGCTCTTTCTCTCTCTCTCAAATAAATAAATAAAATCTTAAAAAAAAAAAACCCAAACATTTCCATAATCTTAGAAGAGTTCTATATGCCTCTTCCTAGTCCATACCTCTTATACTCTGCTCCTGCCTTCTCTTTTCCTCTGATTTTGATTTTAGGCACCATAGATTAATTTGCTTATTTCTGAAATTATAAGTGGAATCATACACCTCTGTGGTTTTTTTTTTTCTTAAAAGCATGCCTGTGAGATCGTCCCATGTTTTGTGTCACAATAATTTTTCTTTTTATTACTTAGTAGAATTTTATTGCAAGAATATATCATAAATTATCTATTCTCCTTTTAGTGGATATTTGAGTAGATGTTTAGTGGATATTTAGTGGATATTTCTAGTTTTTGACTATAATGAATAAAGCTCCAGTGAATCTTCTTGTGCATGTCTTTTGATACACATTTGCATTTAATTCTCTTGGATATAAACTTAAGATTTGAAATGATAAGTTTAGGTACATAATGTGCTTTGCTTTAGTAGATACTGCTGGACAGTTTTCAAAAGTAGTTGTTATAATCTATACTCCCACAAGCATGTATGAGCATTTTAATTACTCTGTATCAGGGCCAACATTTGGTATCGCTATTCTTTTTGAAATTCATCCATTTTGATATATGTGTAGTGGGATTATTGTTTTGAGTTTCCCTGTTTACTAATGATACTGAGAACCTTTTGATCTACTTACTGGCCATTTAGATATTGTTGTGCAGTGTATGTTCAAAAGTCTTTTGCATATTTTATATTAGATTATCTTTTATTGATTTGTTCAAGTACTTTATGTATTTTAAGTCAGATATCTGTATTATGTATATCTCCTCCTAATCTGTGGATCACCTTTTCACTCTTTCCATGCTGTCTTCTGATGAACTGAAGTTTTTAATTCTAATGCAGTTTAAATTACCAACCTTTTATTTTATAGTTGCTTTTAAAATATTTTTTAAAGAAATCTTTGCCTATCTAAAGTTATGCAGATTGTCTCCATTGTTTTCTTTTAATAGTTCTATTTTTTTTTTTTTAATATGCTTTATGCCCAATGTGGGGCTTGAATTCATGACCAGGAGATCAAGAGCTGCATGCTCCCCTGACTGAGCCCACCAGGCGTCCCCAGTAGTTCTACTGTTTTTTACCCTTCACATTTAGCTCTCTTATCAAGCTTAGATTAATTTTAGCATATGTAGATAGGAGCTCACGTTAATCTTTTTATTCTTATGGATATCCAAATGGTTTATTGCCATTATCAAAAGAAAGGACAATGCTTTCCTCTCATAAGGAAATCAGGTGACTGTGTTGGCAGATCAGGTGTTGGCAGATCAGGTGACTGACCATACATGCAATGCCTTGGTTCTGTACCCTCTATTCTATTCCGTTTTCCTATTTATTGCCAGTGCCATGTTGTCTTGATTACTGTAGCTTTATATTCTTTATATCTGGTAATATATTTGTATATTCTTGATACCTGGTAGTATAAGACTTCTAACTTCTTTTTTTTTCTTTAACATTATATTGACTATACTAGGTGTTTGGCCATTTTCATAAAATTTTTGAGTCAGCTTGTCAATGTCCATAATAAAACCCTGCTGGGATTTTGATTGGTATTACAGTGAATGTATAGGATCATTTTTGGATAATTGATGTCTTAACAATACTGAATATTCTGGCCCACAAACATAGTATTTTTATATTTATATAAACATTACTCATTTTTTTCTCAGCAGTGTTTTATGGTTCTCAGTATAAATGTTATGCATACTTTTTATTAGATTTATTCTAGATACTTAGTTTTTCATAAAATATTTTCTTCTCATTTATTTTTTTTAAGATTTTATTTATTCATGAGAGACACACACTGCGAGAGAAAGAGAGAGAGAGAGAGAGAGAGAGAGAGAGAGGCAGAGACACAGGCAGAGGGAGAAGCAGGCTCCATGCAGAGATCCCGATGTGGGACTCGATCCTGGGTCTCCAAGATCATGCCCCTACTGAAGGTGGTGCTAAACCGCTGAGCCACCGGGGCTGCCCTCATTTATGTTTTTAAAGGAATTTGTCTTTTTCATTTGAGTTGTCAAATTTATTTGCCTAAAGACTTTCTAGTTTAGTTTTCTTTTTGATTTCTGGTTTAATTTCATGTGATCAGAGAACATTCTCTATATGATTCCAGTCCCTTGAAGCTTTTTGAGACTTGCTTTATGGCCCAGTTTATGGTGTATTTTGTTAAGTGTTCCAGTGAACTTTAAAAGATTATTTATTTTGTAGTTTTTTGAGTGCGTGTTCCGTATGTGCCACTTTGGTTATTCACTTGTTCCAGTCTCCTTTATCCTTTCTGGTTTCTGTGATAGGTGAGAAAGAGTATATCAGGGGTGCCTGAGCGGCTCTGTCGATTAAGCATCTAACTTTTAGTTTCAGCTCAGATTATAATCTGAGGGTCCTGGGATCAAGCTCCATATCCAGCTCCATACTCAGTGTGGAGTCTACTTGACATTCTATTCTCTCTCTCCTTCTCCCTCTGCGTCTTCTGCTTGTGTTGTGTGTGTCTCTCTCATAAATAAATAAAATCTAAAAAAAAAAAAGTATATCAATTAGTTTTAATTTTAATTTCTTTAATTATGAAAATTTATTGGTATCTAATGTAATTTCTTATGTTTAAAGGCCTAATTAGCATTTCTCTGTGAACTGACTGTTCTGTATCTCTTGTTGCTTGCTTTTTTAAAAAAATATATTTATTTTGTATTGGTGTTCAATTTGCCAACATATAGAATAACACCCAGTGCTCATCCCATCAAGTGCCCCCCTCAGTGCCTGTCACCCAGTCACCCCCAACCCCCGCCCACCTCCCCTTCCACCACCCCTAGTTTGTTTCCCAGAGTTAGGAGTCTCTCATGTTCTGTCTCCCTTTCTGATATTTCCAACTCATTTTCTCTCCTTCCCCCTTTATTCCCTTTCACTATTTTTTATATTCCCCAAATGAACAAGACCATATAATGTTTGTCCTTCTCTGATTGACTCATTTCACTCACCCTCCAGTTCCATCCATGTCGAAGCAAATGGTGGGTATTTATCGTTTCTAATGGCTGAATAATATTCCATTGTATACATATACCACATCTTCATCTTTTGATGGACACCGAGGCTCTTTCCACAGTTTGGCTATTGTGGACATTGTTGCTATAAACATTGGGGTGCAGGTGTCCCGGCGTTTCCTGCATCTGTATCTTTGAGGTAAATCCCCAACAGTGCAATTGCTGGGTTGTAGGGCAGATCTATTTTTAACTCTTTGAGGAACCTTCACACAGTTTTCCAGAGTGGCTACACCAGTTCACATTCCCACCAACAGTGCAAGAGTGTTCCCCTTTCTCTACATCTTCTCCAACATTTGTGGTTTCCTGCCTTGTTAAGGTGTGAGGTGGGATCTCATTGTGGTTTTCATTTGTATTTCCCTGATGGCAAGTGATGCGGAGCATTTTCTCATGTGCGTGTTGGCCATGTCTATGTCTTCCTCTGTGAGATTTCTCTTCATGTCTTTTGACAATTTCATGATTGGATTGTTTGTTTCTTTGCTGTTGAGTTTAATAAGTTCTTTATTGATCTTGGATACTAGCCCTTTATCTGATAGGTCATTTGCAAATATCTTCTCCCATTCTGTAGGTTGTCTTTTAGTTTTGTTGACTGTTTCTTTTGCTGTGCAAAGCTTCTCATCTTGATGAAGTCCCAATAGTTCATTTTTGCTTTTGTTTCTCTTGCCTTCATGGATGTATCTTGCAAGAAGTTGCTGTGGCCAAGTTCAAAAAGGGTGTTGCCTGTGTTCTCCTCTAGGACTTTGATGGAATCTTGTCTCACATTTAGATCTTTCATCCATTTTGAGTTTATCTTTGTGTATGGTGC